GGGGGTCCCCCCCCCCCCCCCCCCCTTCTCCCCTCTTCTTTATTTTGGTTAGTTATATGAAAAAAGGGATTTCAGAATCCCATTTGTCAGAGCTAAGAAAAATTGCTCATTGTTGTGATCTTGCAAAAAATCATCAATGTAATATATATATAGATTGGTCTCCTCTTGAGAAAGAAATTGGTCCTTATGTTCTAGAGACATGTTTAATAGCAACAATTACACCTCAAGTTTTACGGCTATTTCCTTTTATTTATGCTCATCTCAGTCTAATATTATACAAAAATCAAAACACAAAACAGAAAAAAGAAGAAGAAGAGAAACAGGAATATCTATATGTGATGATATTAATTCAAGAAAGCTGCTTTTTAGTCATAAGAATAAGAATATAGTACTAAGAGCCCGTTTGAATTGGCTTATTTTAAATGCTTTTAAGCCAAAATCGCTTTTAAGCCATTTTGTAGTGTTTGAATAAAGTAAAAAAAGTGCTTTTAAGCACTTGTTTTTAAGCTAAAATGACAAAAACAAGCCAAAAGTTAAAAGCTAAATATCCTAACTTATGGCTTAAAAACTATTTTGGCTTAAAAGTTACTTAAAATAAGCTCATCCAAACAGGCTCTAATTACTAAATGTGAGGTGGTTCCACCGGTTGGGTCGGAGTTTTTGTCTTTAGCACAAAGAGAATTTGGTAGAAAGGGAAAAGAGATATTTGAAGATTGTGCGAGTTTATATTTTAGCTTAGCATGTGCATTTTAGTATTAGGAAGTTTCGCTCAATTCCATAACCTATTAACCTTGTTTTATTTTGTTTTCGGTCAGCCCTATTATTAACCTTTGTTACTCCCTTTGGTCCAGTTTAATTGATTTTTGGCTATTTTCATATATATATATATATATATATATATATATATATTAAGAAATTCACCTTTTAGCATTAGTTAACAATGAAATGATCATATTAGTCTTAATTTGTTCATTAGAAATATAATAAATACTCCTAGAGTCTTTAATCCAAGGGAAACTTCGGAAAAAGAAGTTAATTTTTTCTTGATATTTGAAAATATCAATATTGTGGACCAAAAATAAAACTAGAAAATTAATTAATGTAGACCAGAGGGAGTATTAGCTTTTCATCGTTACAAATAACTAATAAGGCCGACATTCGAAGATGCACGCTTAGAATTATTGGCTTCCTTTTACTTCTATTTATTTACGGATGCGTTTTATTGACGAAAGTTATTTTCGATGAAACATATTTTCTTAAAAACTACTTCTTGAAAAGTATCTGTAGATATTTATAAAGAAAATGACTCATGTCGATAAGAAAAAGAAGTTACTTTTCCTTTTGGTGAAAAATGTTTTTCTTTCTTAAGCAAACACTTATATTTTCAATAATAACTTTCGTCATATTCAAATAAGATATCTATTTTTACTTCTTATATTGGGCAACGAATGATTTCCTATCACCCATCTTTAATATTTCTTTCCAAAAGATGGAATCTGCTAATAGGGATGGAGTTTCTTTCTGCTTCCTTTTACTTTATAGTTCACTTTTTCCATTGGACAAAAAGTGTATCACCCATCTTGGATATTTTCCTTCAAAAACACGGCATCTGCTTAATATTTTGAATAGCTAGCAATTGAGATTCATCCACAATAGCAAAAAGATGGGTGTAATTCCAACACAGTATGTCTGTTTCAAGTGAATATTTTAGTCTCCGATCATACAAAAAATATCTTCATAATTTCACAACATAGCACCATTTGGAATACTAAGAATTCTAATAAAGGAGGGGGAGAGATGAGAAAAACAGACAAAGCACCAAATGTATAGACAAGCATAAACCAGATTACAAGGGGGATCTCAAATCTGGCTTTGTGACCCATTAATCTCCTTATCATGTTATTGGGGTCACTGTAAATTTCTATTTTTAGTCTTTCGTGATGGCGACTCGTAGCAAAGTGTATCTTTACCCCCCAAGTTGGTGTAATTGTTTTGCCAAGATTTACAGTAACCAGAGAAGCACATCTAGTAATGCAGCCTCTCATCATTTTTATTAACACTCAGGCCCTCTATTCCTTTAAGGGCGGCCTCGAAATTCTTGTCCATTTTAGTGGAGGAGCTGCGCTTCTGATCTGATGACAAAATTGGTGAACTTCTCTGCGCAGCACTGGTAGTTTTACGGAGATGTCCTGGACTGGCATCTGTTTTCCGGGTGTGAGAGGAATCAGGTTCACCACCAGTGAACACTGGGTCACGACTGCTAGACACAGCTGGATGCCTTGATGATCCACTTGTTCGGAAAAAATTAGAACTGGATAACTGCAACAAGAGCTCAGTCAAAATTCTTTTATCTTCGCTGGTTGTCAATAGAATCACAAAACATGAGAATATATTAGCCTGTAATCTGCAAACTGTACTAGATTTTTTATCGCGCTAAATCCTGCTTCTACCATGTGGAATGAATTTTTTCTCAGGCAAGCAGTTATATTGACGAAAGAAAATGTCAAATGATGGAAGGTTTTGTGATGTCTACTAGGAAAAAGTGCAATGCAGATGAGAGATAAATACAAATAAGTAGTAACCAAGAAAAAACGACACAAAATTGATGATTTTGGTAAATTAAAATGCCACAAATTATGCCATCTATAGCTTAACAAAGTTGGTCGCACTCACAATCTTGTGCCGACTGGTAATTCTGTAAAAGTGTCACAATTTACTGTAAAACAACAAGAGCGACAGAGCGAGGACTCACCTCTTTACCCGTGGATAAATCATTGCCAACTGTCCCTTTTTGCTTAGCTAAGCTTCCAGAGTTGAAATGCAGCCCTGTGTTCCTATTACGTGTAAGATTTGCTGAAGAATAACCATTAGGCCGACCTTCTTCACCACCTGCATAATATGTCTAGCATGTAATTTGCAGGTCCCAAGGAAATAGCAAACTAGAAGATTGCATATTAGAATTACTTCCCTGAACAAAATTAACTAAGATTATGAACTAGTGAACACTTCACATGCTAATTGTACTTTTTCCATTAAAGGCTAGAGATAACATTTATTAGGAATGATCTGAGGATGAAATTCTATGGACAGTAAGTAGTAAACAGCAAAGAAACTTATACAAGCTTTGTTGGAAGTAATGTCCAGTTTCATTATAAGTCTACCATCGGCAAACCCCAAAGCTCTAACATGCACTGATTGCTCATAATTTTCTTTTATGCTTGAAGTAGAGATACATAAGAGACCCACCTGATTGCCTCTCAACATTAGCAAGAGCATGAGGCATCCCTGAACTTGGTCCAGCAGTACCACCCTGTACCAAAATTACCATTTCATTTCAACATTTTGAGGCCAATTAACACACAACTGATCTGCCTAAGTCACTCACAAGAGCACGAGATGGAGGATTGGCAAGTTGTGACTGCTGATATTTCAAAATAGTCCAGTCAAATACATAATCAAACTGAAAACCTGAAAAGACGAAAAAAGAGGAGAAAAAAGCAAAAATGAATAATACAGATTCTAGAAAAAAACATTAATTGAGCTTATACAGCTAGTATTATTGTATGGAAAGCAAGAAATAATCATACCTTCACGAATGAAAAGGTCACGAAAAATTCTCTTGAGATAAGCATAATCTGGTTTATCCTCAAATCTCAGTGATCGACAGTAGTGAAAATATGATGCAAACTCTGTAGGATAGCCACGACACAATGTCTAGAAAAGAAAAATTTGTGTCAGCATCATCATTAAAAATCATATCGCTAGCATAAGAAAAATGTTAAGAACATAAAATGCCTCTATTGATGTTGAAACTTTCTTCTCACTGATCCTCTCATACTTCTGTTTCTTTGTGCCTGCTTTCAGCCCCTGCCAAGGAAGACTACACATTTTGAAATCAGTAAATAGATATGTCAAGAAAGAAGAGTGAAAGCAAATTAAAAAAAAGGAGATATACATAAAGAGATTCTACCTTCCTCTTAAGAAATACATTAGAACATAACCCAGTGACTCCAAATCATCCCTTCGGCTTTGTTCTATAGGTTTGATAGCAACAAAGGAATCAAGGATAGCTTCAAGAATAAGCGCAATCCACATACACAAAATTGTACAAAAGTTTAAAAAACCAAAAGCTTACCTATGCCAAGGTGAGTATTCATGCTTGCATATCTGGCAGTTCCTGTCAAATTTTTGTTTTCTCTGTATTTGAAAATTAGAAGAATAAAATAAAATTACTCATTCATTATCTAGAGATAAATCATTTTCTTAGCTAACAAATCGCATGAGAAAAGAATCTCAAAAGTGTACTATAACGGAACTGAACACAAAAAATAAATACTACAACTTTGACAAGCTCAAAAATCAAATAACCTACCTCAATACAAACCAACCGCAATACTCTCCTCTCACTACTTAAATTTCAGTAAATAGTGTGTCTTTCGAATAAATAATGAAAACATCTCCATGGCAATTAGACATGGTGGCACTAGATTGATGAAGCCTTCTCCTTCCACCAGTAACTCAGAGAGAGAAAGAGAATCAATCAAGGGAACTTAGGAA